AAGAAGAAGAAGAAGAAGAAGAGGAAGAAGAAGAAGAAGAAGAAGAAGAAGAAGAAGAAGAAGAAGAAGAAGAAGAAGAAGATGAAGAGGAAGAGTTTGCATTGTAACTTTCCTCCCTTCTGCTGGCTTGCTTTGCAAGACCTTGCCTTGCAAGACGGCTGTGAATGGTTTCTGCTGGCCAGAAATGTATGTTGAGAAGTTGCACCTACAGATTGTAAAAGTGGCTCTTGCTGAGAATCCAGTTGCCACACTGTCTGGGGAAGTCCAGGAGCTGAAGGCCACAACAGTAACTTTTCCAGGCTTTGCTTTATACGTGCTGTATAAAATACACATGCATCAACACAGAGCGGCTGATAGCTATTGTCTATTTCATAATCCTGCACCTTGGCATCCCAGATGTTTGGGATGAGGAGAGGGAAAAGATTTCAAAAGCCATCTAGATTCTCTCCAAGCACAATAGGATTCAAGTCCTCCAACTGTAACCAATTTCTTCTTATTCTGGTTTGATCAGCAGGTAGGTTGTTTCAAGCTGTGTGTCTAGTATATGGTCAACTCCAGATGATCTTGGAGGACCCGGAGATTTCGCTCCATGGTGGAAAACTGCCAAGGGCTGGTAACCATTGTTGCCACCCTCCAGAACTTGAAGGGCTGTCCCTATTCCTAGCACCTTCCCCTTTCCAAAACACACAGCTTAGTCCTATGTCTGAACAGGGCTTCTAAACACAATACCTCTGGGACTCTCTTACCCTCCTTCTTCCGAGTACTTGTGAGCAAATGATAGAATGTCTGATGCCCGGCCGCTGCCATCACAGATCACAACAGGAAGTGGGGGATCTTCACGGAGGCATTCCAAGACAATTGAAATCACATTGGGACCACCTTCGACTATGAGTCCAACCACGGGAACGCCCTGCCCCAGGCCTGTAGACCAAACCGAAAAGGTCATTAATTGACTTTCAAAAGAGGAGAATCTTCAACGTCTTAATGAGCCAATAAGTTACATGAACGCCAGGGAATGAAGACGGGGTATCAGACCATATCATACCATATTTCTAGCGGAATAGTCAAGAAATGACTGCTCTCAATTTCAAACCCAATTGTGATAGCTAAAGCGGCATAAATAGGTTTGCTGTGTTGACACAGCTTTTGCAAGACCCATCCCTCCTGTGACCCACGGTGAACTCTATTGTTCACAACTGTTGCTGCAAATAACAATGGCCGGCCGAAGTTCGAGACGACAGCTGAGCACCCCTTTGCTGTCCCTGCCCCACTGTGATCTCCAGGCATAGGATGACAAAGGGAAGCCCACAGGTCACGTGATCCGAGCAGACTTGGTAACAACGGGTCAGGCGGCTGCAGGACTAAAAAGGAAAAGAAAGCATTATCCCGAAATCCCACACCCAACACTCAGTATTATGTGTATTGGGGGGTAGATGGCCGAAACCCAAAACAGGAGGTGGGAGCAGGATCAGGGGAGAAGCCCCAGTGGGCTGTCAGAGATGAAGGAAGAAAAGCCAAAGAAAATCCACCTGCTCTTCTCACTGGATGTGATGCAAATTCCATGGAGGAGAGAACATTTATGGGCTCACCCTTCTTGGAACACTCAAGACCTTGCTTTGGATGGCCCTCGATCATGAACTGATGAGCAGCATGGGGGGGACCACGGGGCCACTCCAAGGAGGGGAGGAATCTGTCAGCTTATTCGGCAACTGTGTGCACGGGGCTCCCTCAGCAAGCCCCCTAATTAGAACAATCATTTTCATGAAGAAAGTGGTGCCTAGGGTAAGGCATCCACAATCCTCAGCTCTAGCCCAATATGGTTCCCCCTGACTGCTGCTTTAGGGCTTTGAAGATGCCAGGAGTGCATTCATGCCTCTCCATGGTGAAATATTGTTTGGCTCTTAGATAATACACTTCGCATGCCATTGAGAAGGAGAGCTTCCTTAAGAGGGAAAGGATGCTCGACCAATGAGCACGAGCGTGCCCCATCCCCAGCTCGCTCTTGATTTGCGGTTGCTCTTCGGGAGGGAAACCCAGGCTTCATTTGAAAGGATGATTGCTCAGGCACGGGGCTTTTGAGACCACTGTGTGACTGGCGGGGGTCGGAGGGGGGGAGATGCTGCAAGAGCAGGAGAGACACATTTCTCTCAACATGCAATTTTTGCCCTCACTCCTCTTTTACAAAAGGGGTTCTTACATTTAAAACCTGGGTGCGCTTGTGAGCCAGGGTTAAAGTTCCCAGCAAACTGCTGAGCCGGGGAGGATGGATCAAACAGAGGATATGGGGTCCGTAAGCTAACCAAGGGTCACCTCGACCTTCAGCAGTGATCCAGTGGAGCCGAATGCGCCCGCGTTGTTTCAGATACGTGAAGAGGGTTTGTGCCAAGAGAATGGGAGACCTGTTCAAAGGCTCCTCCTTTTGCTGCTTAAGGTTTAGTGCCTAGGATTATTCATCGCCTGGGGTATTTGCAAAGAAATTGTAACTCAAATGTCCATTTCTCCTTCTCACGGCTCACACAGGGAAGCCGTTCCCCACCACGTAAGGCCACGGCACAGCACTGGGACTGAGGTGAATGTGATTAACAAGCCTGACCCCCTCTATGGATTAAACAATGCAAAGCAAAGCAAATTCAATAAAACATTAACTTCAGGAGAAAACTTGGTTTCCAACTACTGTTTGGTACCAAAAATATATCTGAGGATCATTTTTGTTTGTGGATCTGCAGTAACTTAAAGCAAATATTTTCAAAACTGCCAACACAGCAAAACTCATTGTGATCTTAAAAAGAGGATTTGGTGTTTGTATGGAAACACCAAATCTTTTTAAGATCACAGAGAGGGTGTTTTTTTTTCTGTTTTTTTGCAATTAGACAGGAGTGAAAAGAGCATACTTTGATCAATTGTTATACTATGTAGTAGAGAGCAATGCTTCAAAATGAATGACTGGTGTGATGCCCTCTTATGTTCTACTACTTCTGTTGAATCTCATTAACATTTTGTTCCTGCACTCAGTGTGCAGGTTGTCTTCCAATTTGGGTTTAAGTTCTTGGGTCACTGATAAAATTTATGTGTCCAGTAGCAGCCACTGGATGTCCAGACAGGAGGACCAGTTATCTGGACACACAATTGTTATTTAGTTAGGTCTCTCTCTCTCTCTCTCTCTCTGACTTTGGACATGAAATCTGGAATAGGAAGCAAGTTTGGAGCCTGGGCTATCAGGTCAGACTGTGGGCCCATTAGAGACTTCTTTCTTTGCCAGGACAGAAGGACATCAATTGGTGTCAATGTGCATTTTTTTAAAGTGGGCCTGGCAGTAAAAGGCGTTTTAGCTCCAGGATATTTTCAGATCCATGGGCCTGGTTTTAAGACATGGAATAATTCAGCATACAAGGAATAAAGCGAAGTCAACCAAAAACAGAAAGAAAGAAAAAAAGACACATTCAATTATTTATATAGTGCGTTTTGCCTCTCAGGACTTAATTGTCATCTCTCAGACCAATATGCTTGTTTGACAAGTATTACGTGCATCTCGGCACATCTGCAGAAGACAGATGGGAAAGCGCAAACAGGTTAGGCCACACCTGAGGTGAGCAGAGAGAGAAAGATTCTTCTGTATGCTATTGCTTTATGGGAAACAAACACGTGCTTTACATATTATTACGTTTGCAACACATTAAAAATTTGCACACACAATATAATGTACAGTACTCGTGAAACATATGGATGTCTATGCACTCTGTGTCACTTTGAGCCAAATCATGCTTTCCATGTTGACTTTAGGAGAGGCTTGTAAAAATGTCTTAGGCAAATAAGTATGCCTTATACTTAGACATCTCTCCCGCAGCTCTGCTCACCCCTTCTCTGATCACCCAAACTGTGACCTACTGAGGCACCGGTCCAGACTGATTCGGTGTTCTTACATCTGGGTGACCAACAGCAGGAGGAATGAGCTTTGAGGACAAGAGAGAGGCTCCTTCGGTGAGGAGGCTCCTCCGGCCAGCGTCACTTACGGGTGTTGATCTTCTGGAGTGAGATGTGTTTCTCCAGTTGGCGCCTGAGTTTCACTTCCGCCCCATATTTGCCTAGGGTGCCATTGTCGGCGAGGATGAAGTGTGTATGGGAACTGTTGAGCACAGAGAGTTTGCTTAGTGGGTTTGACATGGTTTGATACACTCTTGTCACCTGTCAAAAAGAAAAGGGCAAGCTTATTTCATTTTGCTTTTTTTAAGGCAAGGAAAATCAAAATGTGGCTCCATGATGCAGGCTGTCTTTGGACTCTGCAGCCGGCCGGACGCCAGAGGGTTTTAACGTGCCATCTCCAGCAAGGAACCTCAAGATCCTCCAGGAGGTTGGCTAATGGTCTCTCAGCACCTTCACTGAAGGGCACCTTCCGGGATCCTTTGGGGAAACACAAGCCCACCTTCCCTCCCTCCCTCTCTCCCTTTCCAGCATTTTTGTGTAGCCCTTCCAGCATGCTCAGGGAAGCATCCCTGATCCCTGCTCCTCTCGGCACAGGGAAGCCCAGCAAGATATAGCTTTATCTGAGATACAGTGCCTGGCTCAAGGTCTCGGTAAACTTTCGGGGAGGAGAAATGATTTGAAATGCCTTTTCTTCAGCCTGAATTCTGCAGACTGACTACATTGCACCAGCTCTACACAGAGCTCTGGGAAGTAATTTTTTTGGACTATGAATCCCAGAATCCGACAACCAACGTGGACTTTTGGGAGTCGTAAAGATTGTGTGCTCTATATTGCTCAGAATTTCTGTAGCGCTTCAATATTTCTCGAGTCCTTTGTGCACGTTACCCTAGGAAACCCTGTAAACAAACCTGTAAGGTAAAAACAAAACAGTGCGACAGTCTCTCTGTTGTGAAAGGAGGGTGAAGTACCGGGATACCCTGGGATTTTGGGACAGAGGTGAAACTGAAACTGTGGCTTTCACTGCTTAGTTTGCAACCCAACTGGTGCAAACGGTATGCCTGTTTGCGGTGTAAATCTGCCCTCTATGGACCATTTATCAGAAGCAGGGAGAGCACTTTGTTCAAAAGGCTTCTGCCTTCGGATGGCAGCGAGCATGTGACCGGCCCAGACAAGCGCCACCCTCTGCCAGCTGGCCGCTGTGCATCCTGTCTAGGCGAGAGTGGCCAGAGGCGAAGGAAGCAAAGGGTGAGGGAAAGGGAGGGCTTGGCAGCTGACACTGGCCAGGCTGGCAGAAGAAAAGACACTGCGGCTGAAAGCACCACTTCTCTGTAACTACTCAAGGCAGAGCAGCCGGATCCGCTCGGAATCCACTTTCAGACTAAGCAAAAATCTGCATGAACTCTGGACCAGATGAAACTGTGTCTGGGGTAAACAATGGTTCGATAAATGAGACCATTTGGTTTTTGATACTTGTTCAAGTATCAATTTATTCCATCCTTGTTTTGCATTAATTTGCATTGGGTTTTTTTATATCAGGACAAAAATGTGCATTTTATAATACACTTGTCATTTCTCTCCTCATTTTGCATTAATTTGCATTGGTTTTTTTTTTTACATCAGGACAAAGTTGTGCATTTTACAATACACTTGTTATCCCCACCCCCCCTTGAGCTGACATTCTGATCCACATATGAGCCCTAGCCAGGTCAGTTTGTACTGGCACTCATCAAGACAGAATTTCTGAAGAAAACCAAGTTAAAACAAACCAGGATCCACCTGTGCTTTAAAATCCTGGCTTGCCTTCAAATTGTAGTTTAAATTAAACAATGCTCCTTAAGTTCAGATGTAGTTGGAAACTCTGGTTAAGTTTGAAGGAGAAGCATCTGTTTCCAGCATCCTTCTGCATTTATCAGAAGACATGGAGGGATGGAGCAGCTCTGAAGCTTGCTGAGACACATTCCCCTAGTCTTAAACTATGATGTGGAACCAAATCACCTTTGGAGAGGGGCAAGAGCAAGCCAAGATAAAACATTCACACCGTAAAAAATGAATTAAAAATACACTAAACAGCTGACCATCAAAACCATCCAAATCAGTAAAATAACAAATCCTGAAGGCTTCAAATAAAAATGCAACTATTGAAACAAAGCACAAGTATTTTTAAAGCCTGGTTAAAAACAAACAAGGGGGAGAGTCAGTCATTCCCCTGTGGAGGCTATTCCATCATCTCAGAAGCCGGGAACGTTGGTCAGAATTCCCAGAATGTTCAGGAAGCCTGTGCTCTGAAGGATTCTGGGAGTCACGTCTTCTCCCTTGCCTCAACAGGCAAAACCTCTGCTCATGGTGGGACTGTGAGAAGAGCCTCAGAATCTTAGGCGAGGCCCCTTCTTCTATATGGCTGGAGCATCTCGGACAGGTAGACATCAACACACAGGCACTTTCTTCTCATTTCAATTCATTTTTAAGGAAAGCTTCAGCTGCTCATTTCAGCCTGTGGCTGATTAAAGTACACAGGCTTAGCGTGCGCGCATGCACATACACATGCACAAACTGGGGGGTTGGGAGAGGGAGAAGTGGCCCCTATTATTTCCTTTCTTATTCAATTCCTGCTCTTCTCACTCATCCGAAGAAGAGTTCTCCGAGAGTCCTGCACCAACAGCCTTCTAATGCATCCAGTTCTCTGGTTTTGTGCACAAACGGCAAAGAGAAATGAAAAAGAGGAGAACCTCAGTAAAAACCCACTTACATCTTTCCCAATCAGATCCTCCTTGTTTTCCACAATGCCCCACGGAGCAATTCCTATGGCACAGATCCGTCCTCTGGACTTTGAAGAATGATCTTTCAAGGCATCTCCGACATGCCGGATGACCCCTGCGGGAAGGACCAAGTCCATTAAGAGTCTTCTCTACGGCCTTCTCCACGGAGGCTTTCCCCTCCCACCCCCCACTCTCCTGTTTATTAAGAAAATCCCGTGAGGACTTGTACGGCGTCTGTTCTTTAAAAAATGTGGGGGTATCAAACATCGTCTCCACGGTGGTGACATCACGATTCTCACAACAGGGACAAGCCAGGCAAGGTCAGTCCTTCATACCTTTTCGGAGGACTGATTAAAACCTTTTTCTCCCATCAAATCTTTTGGAATAAGGCATTTAAAGCCTGCTGCTTTAGAGCACATTATGAAATGCGCACTTTTGATGAAAACCCATTTCTGACCATTCCCCCTGGAAGCTACTGAACTTGCTAGCTGCCACTGAGTCCCGTTTCCAAAACTGGTGTTCTTGTGCATGAATCTGCATGGAAGGTGTTCATTTATAAGCAGCACCTCTCTGGTCACAGAATATGGTGGGCTTGGGATGTTGCTTTTGCTTAAAACTTAGTTACAGTGAAGACGGTATAACAGTGTACAACCACAGCAGCATCTGTTAAATGTTGACCACTCAATTCAGGACCCACAGAGGGTGTTAATAACAGGCTCCCCACCCACCCCTTTTAGGTTTCTTCCCTACCACTAGCTGACACAAGCTATTGAAGAGAAATGTATAGGGCTGCTATCAAGGGAGGCCTTCAGTGGGGTTTCTCCTAAGCCAAGGGAAAAGAAAAAAGAACTAGACTACATCTACTTATCTGTAATCCTTTGATATACTCCTTGTTCCTCACACCCCACCACCTCGGCTGGAACAGAGAGGCTGTTTTTATGACTTACCGGTACTGACCCCTCCAGTGAAGATCCAAGCTCCTGTCGTCATGGCCGCCTTGATGAGCCCTTTTCCAAAGACTTGCTTCAGTTTGGGTTGCAGCTCAAAGTTCTGCAGCCCCCCATGGACGGAGATCAAAAGCTTTGGCAGCTCCAACTGCCACTCTTTCACCATCAGGTGGAGCAGGGCGTCCGGCTTCGTGTCGTAGGACACTCGGATGTACTGCAAGAGAGACAGAAGCAGAGTGGAACTGGATCGCCGTGAAAGCCCATCCATTCCAGATTCCAACATGAGCTTCCCCTCCAGGCCATCCTGATGCCTCGGGGGGGGGGGCAGTTCACGAAGACTGCTGCTCCTCAGTCCCTGGAAGCCAGAGGCACAGAGCCTCAAAACCTGCAGCTTCAGTAAATCCATCATAACTGACAGCAGCGAATACATTTCTCCTCTGTCTCTTTCCAGAACACACAGACCACTTCCACCTCTAATGAAGTGAGCTTTGACCCACCAAAGAAAACCGATTAGCCTTTAAGGTGCCAAAGGCGCATGGTTATTTCTTCCTGAGTTACGTTTTTTTCATGGTACGAAGGTAACAACAACTACGTTTTCACCACCATTGAAGGGAAATATCACCACTGCAAATATTTTGGGATCCCCCCCCCCAGATTGCTCAGCTTCCTCCTTTTACCTGATGACAAAGCACTTCCCCAGACCCTCTTCTGTTTGTTTGTTTGTTTGTTTGTTTACCCCCAGATTGCTCGGCTTCCTCCTTTTACCTGATGTCAAAGCACTTCCCCTCTTCTGTTTTTTTTTCTCTGAGATCCTGGCATAGCCTATCATTGTTCCCTTGCGAAGGCTGCACAGCCTCTAAAGTGGCAAACCCTGCTGCTTACCATGGCCTTATTGGTGTGCCCTCCGCCTTGGAACTCAAGATTTCCATAGGAATCAGTCGGGAGTGCCTGGGTGTGTTTACTGGCGGTCCATTTCTCCGGCTGAACATCCACTTGCTTGGCAGTTTCATCTTCATTCTTGCTCGCAGTTACACTTGGAGGGATGGGGAGGTGTTGAGTGATAAGCTGGCCGCAGCAGCACCTGGGGCGGGGAGCGGGGAGAGGCAAGAGGCAGGTCAGTCACCGTGAGCTGCCTAATTATTTGACACACTTTTTCAGCCAACTGAAAACTTTCTATATGTCAACAAAGAAAACAGTCTGTGTCTTAAACAAAGACTAAGCCTAACATCCTGTTTGGAGCCCCAAACCCAGAGCATCACCCACAGTCAACGTCCACAGACAGCTGTGCACGGAGGGAATCCCCATCGCATCCAAGGTCTTGCCTGCCCTGTTAGGGCGCCCGTCCTTTCCTTCCCCACTGGAAGGGGACGGGGAGCATCTAGAACCAGTGGGCGTAGCCGTCAGGCTCCAGGACCTTCCCCACTGCCACCACTCAGCGCTGCATTTCTCCCACAAGTGTGGCTGGCTGAGGGTGCTTTGAGGCCATCCTCTAGGTGTAATCCTGCCCGAACGTCCCATCAGAGGACTCCGAGGGCTGAGCTCAGACCTTCTGCCTCAGTCTGAGCACCTGGTCTTGGTTATTAAGACATTGGAGAAGAGTCCCTCTTCTTTACTGGATCATGACCCCTGAGGAGCTCATGAGCCCCTGGAGGCCCCTCCTGTTGGCCATATACACCAGGGTGGGGAATGTGCAGCCCTCCTTGTCTTGCTGGGCTACCACTCGTCTGATGGCTCATCATGGACTCTGTTGAACAGAGCTGACAGGAGGACCCTAGCCAATGTCCCGTTAGCTGTGGCTGAGTGACAGGGGTACGTGGCTGCCCAAACACCATGCTGGTGGCCAGCCATGACCAGTGAACAAAGCGCGCGCGCGCGCACACACACACACACACACACAGACACATTCTGCTTGGATTATGGGTTGCCAGTGCAGCTCTGAGGCCAGGGACTGGAGGGAGCGGCAAAGATGGTGATGCTATTGCTTTTCCTGCTGCAGGGGACTTGTGGGAGAGGGAGACGGCACCACAGCTGAAGAGAGATCACCTGCTAGGATCTTTGTGGTGAGCGATGATGCAGATGCACTCTCTCTTGGAAAAGGTCTTCTCTATCCAAGCCTTTTGACCCTGGGGAGTGAAGGAAGAGAGACAATTTTATATTGGCTGAATGGCAGAGAGGGATATTTGCCGAAAGAAAGAAAGAAAGAAAGAAAGAAAGGAAGGAAGGAAGGAAGGAAGGAAGGAAAGAAGGAAGGAAGGAAGGAAGGAAGGAAGGCTGTTGACACTTTCAAGGGCCATATTCGATGTACATCAGTGGAAGCAGCTTTGCCACAAACCATATTCAGCAGAGACAAAGGGGTCCTAAGCTCAAACTCTTCTCACTCATCTCCTTTGTGTATGTTCCTGATGCATGGGAGAAGCCAGCTTCCACACTGAGGGGTGCCTTAGACCAAGTCAGCTTTCTGATCTGCTTAGCAATGTGTGGGAGACAGTCCTCTTTGTCCCACGTGCCAAAATGGCTTGTTATAGCTCTGGTTAGTGTCCAAAAAGTGGGCAGTTTTCTTCTTTGCATCTCCCCCCACCCCCGAAATGCTGGAGACTGAATGTGAGAACTCATGAATGCAAAGCATGCAATCTTCTCCACCACTTCTTCCCATTTGTGAAACCTATAGCTGGAATCAAAACATACCCCAGTGCAATCCTAACACCTGTTTGGTGCATCTGTTTCTGCCCTGCAGAACCCTATCTGAGACTAGTTGCTGAAGCAAAAGAAGGCTTTCTGTTGTTCTATATATTACTAGTTTGTTTTGTATTCTGTCTTTCAATAAAGAAACAAATTCTCAGTACGGCTTATAAACAGACATCAAATAACAACAGAAACATCAGAGGGTTTTTAAAAACAGTAACCAAAAGGCAAATGAACTACAACGCAGCAGAAATAAAACAAAGGTGATTCAAAAGTTGAGGAAAACAAATTATTTGGTTGGTTTAGAACTGGAAAATAGAGCAAAGTAGGTGTCCAGCAAGCTTCCCTAGGGAGCCCGTTCTATGAGTAAGCTGCCATAATCAAGAAAGTTCGCGAATTAAGGGCAGAAACGATGGCAAATGTATGCTTAGAAGGCAATAAAACATTAATGTGCCGGAAATGCACTCTTCACAGCATCTCCATTTATACCATCAACATGCAAATGAGCACAGTCCTGATGAACACAATCCAATTTGCAATGTACAGGGTTCTAAAATAATGCTGGGGGATAATCAGGTGTCCTTTAGTTAGTAAACACAGTGTTGGTTTGAAAGGCAAAGCTGCCCTTTTTTTCTATTTGTGGCCTAATTGCAACAGTTTCCAAATGCTTAAGAATCTTTGATTTCACAACAGACCTGGCTTTTTACATTCCAAAATAGCAGGGACTCAGACACGTATTTATGATCTAGTGAAGCAGCGCTGGTGAATGGGAAGCTGATACACTTCCTCGATTCTTCTGATATGTATCTGATCTTTTTCCCCAGCCTGGGAATTAAGCAGCTCCCAAGACTGACAAAAAGTTGTGGGTGAAAACGTACAGTCATAATAGTAGAACGCAATTAAAGAAATTATAACCGATCTTACTCAGAAGGCTAAAAAGCAGAATTAGATCAACTTGAGCCAGACATCCTGGAGAGTGAAGTCAAGCGGGCTTTAGAAAGCATGGCCATTTCCCCTCTATAAATTGGGGAAATGGCACAGATTCTTACATATTGGAAAACAGAATTTCCAGTTTGTAGGACAGAACTATTGCTTCTCCAGAAAAATCATGGATGTATAACCCTGGCTGAAAAATCTCTGAAGCTGCACAGTAAGAAAGGTTTTACTAATTTCTTGGATGTACAAACTGCTCCACACTCAAAATTTCACAGTGGATTAAAACAAGCCAATACAAAATGTAATTTTTTTAAAAAAATACTTTTTTAAAAAGCTCAGCAGTTTTGCCCAGTGCTAAACTACTTAAAAGTTAAGACTGCTTAAACACACATTCCTATATCAAAGATTACTGCTTGAAATCCCCATTCTGTGCTTCCCTACCTGCAGCACGAGATCTCAGTTTCCTTAGCTTGCCCAACACTGTTAGAAAAGCCAAGTGTTATTTTATCTACAGATACGGTGGGAAAGTACAATGGTCCCGCAATCTAGTATCAGCAGTTCATAAGCAGCTTGTAAAACCACAAGTCAGAGACTGCACGCCCTTTCTGTGCTCATAGGTGTCATTCAGATACCTGTACATGAGGCAGGATACATTTTCTGCTCACTCGGGATAGATATCCACAGCTAAAGTTAAAGAAGATGCTGAAGATTGACAGTTTCAGCAATCCTCCTTCCATGAGGTGTTCCATTAAACAAGTATCAGAGTCAGAATAGTAAGTGAGAGATGAGCCGGGCCAGACCAGAGTTGAAAACAGCTTGGTTTTTATTTAATTTTGGGTTTTTTTTGTTGTTGTTGTGTTGTGTTTTGTTTTGGGGGGGGACCAGAGTACCGTGGTACTCCTCATGCTAAGAAGAAGGGGAAGGAGACAAAAGCCAACACAACAAACAGCTGGAACGAAAACCTCACGAGAGCAAGCATGGCTAGCCTTTCAAGTTTCACTGCCCTTGTGTGTTTAATCTTCTTACGAAAAGCTTGATTATAATCCTTTGAAAATAGCGAAGCCAAAGACAAAAGACATCTCTTCCATTTGTTTGGTTTTACTGTAATTTTTCCCCTCCAGTTGTGGTACACTCATGGGACCTTCCCTAAGAAGGCTTCTTGGTCTCTCCAAGAAGAACACTCGCCTGGCGTTTAGGAAAACCAAGAGGTTTTTCAGAAGGCAATTCTGCCTGATGGAATTCTGAACAGATTGTGACAGATTAATGGCAGCGTTCTGGCTGGGAGGCAGCGAAGCTTTTTGGTAAGAGGCGGAAAGGCGACAAGATCACCCTTAAACACAACTCAGCATTTCCTCAAGACTTCAGACCACTGGGTCAGTGCGTAAGAGCAGCCCATTTCCCCGTCTCCACAGCCTGCTAGGTAGGCTCCTGTCAGAGGGACGCGACTTGCCGGTTGCGCTGGATGGATGGCTCGCCCGGCAGTGAAGCAAGGCGAGAGACAGCTGGCCGGTGGCTGCTATGGGGCACGATTCAAAAGGCAGGCGAGGCATCTCAGCTTAAATGAAAGAAATAGCTTCATGCACGTATGATTTATTAACCTTAGACAGACATTATCCAAAGACGTGGCCCATTCTCTTGAAGAATGAAAAGCAACAGAGTTGCATGGAAGATAAGGGCATTCTATCAGGCAAAAAACACAAAAGAAAATGTAAAAATATAGACAAAAACCTTGAAGATTTACCGCTATATTTTAATGTGACCTTTTGTGGACCCGTCATCAGACTTAAGATATACGAGAAGAGTGTGTGGAGATTTTAGTACTGAAATAGCCAAGATCAAAAGCCATGTGGATTTGGTTCCCTCTGCTAACAGGTACTCTTGTATGTCATCCAAAACTGTAGCAGATGGTGAAAATGCCCACCAGACTCCCAGAATTTGCTGAACCTTCGATTAGATAGATAGATAGATAGATAGATAGATAGATAGATAGATAGATAGATAGATAGATAGATAGATAGATAGATAGATAGATAGATAGATAGATAGATAGATAGATAGATAGATAGAGAGAGAGAGAGAGAGAGAGAGAGAGAGAGAGAGGCAGGCAGGCAGGCAGGCAGGCAGGCAGGCAGGCAGGCATGGATTGAAGGATGTATGGATTCCTTTTTTTAATTTTATGCGAAGCATGTGTGGGTGTGAAGTTTTTTTAAAAAGCAGCAACTTAGAATGAATGAATTAAAATATTTTTACCCTGTGTTTCCCTTAAGAGGACCTAAGGTACCATACAATTAGAAGACAATATTTAAAAGCAGTGAATATACAAATATTAAAAAAATTAAACAAGTATTATATTAAAAATGATTAACAAAACCAATACTAAAAACATATTTAAAAACAACAGAGCACAACAGTCTATTAAAAACACCAAACACCAGAGATGGTGCAAAACCTTTTAGCTCCTTTTAGCATCTCCATAAATGTCAATGAAACCAAGTATTCATGCTTTCTTGATGCTTTCCCGTATCCTCTTCTCCACCTTTTATCCCAAGCTGCCAAATTCAAGACATGCCAACCAACTCAATGGCAAATTATTAAGGCTCATTGCTGTACACCCTAAAACATCCACATTCATATATTATGATCTAAAGAGAACTCCTCACTAAATGGAAAGCAAATACATGAGGACGATAACCATGAAATAACATGTAGATTTGAAGCAACATTCTTACCCATTCTTACAAATTACGGAATGATGGTAGACCACGACCTAGCAGAGGGTACTCGGAGTTAAATCTTGGGATCTTTCCTCCCACCCTCTGTTTTGTTGCTGCAGCTTTTCTCTTTTTAACTCTCCTCTTGAGGTTCGGGCGCCCCGGCTCTCTGAAGCCCCGGAGAATTCCCCACAAAGTTGAGAGTTCCACCACTTTAAGAAGAGAATCTCATATGATGAGCATGTGAGTTGCTTCTTTGTTCAAGCCAATCCCATGACTCTCTTTAAAGGTAATCTCTTCGAAGTCCCATGACCCCATCCTCTCCCTGGCCTGGAGAGAATTCCCATCTCATGGTAGAACAAGGCACAAGGCTTTGACTTTGATAGAGCCCAAAGCTCCAGTTTGTTAAATCTTTTTTTTCCCTCCCCCCTCCTCCCCCCTCTCTCTCCAAACAAGTGGCTTAGAGCAACTTGTAAGAACGCTGGTTCAATGGATTGGATGTTCACAAGTTCTAATCTGAAGCACGCCCTCTCTGGATGGCCGAAATTTCAGGGCTATTTGCATAATTGAGACAATTGGACATAATAGCTCTTTTCAGGGTCCTCATTAGACGTACAGCTCAACATTCTTGGAGAAGAGGGGAAAAGGAGGTCATACAACATTAATTATAGCTAATCCTTTTTAAGAGCAAATTGAACTTAGGCTGGACATTATGTTAGAAGCAATCCTTTGGACTATATATCTGAGGACTATTGTGCACACATCTCTCGCCCCCTCCCCATACATGAGTGTTA